AAGGTAAGTTATGCATACTTGAAACTATGGCATTCACAAGGGTGCATGACCAAACTCTTTGCTACTTCACATGCTGTCACACCACACGGTTTTAATACAATAACAATGCTAGATAGATTTGAGTTTTAAACAAGATAACTTATGTGTATATGTATATACAGTGACTAAAATTAAGTTGGAAAGGATTGCAGATCTGTTCGAGTATGCATTCTTTGATGACTGGGATAAAATGAAACCCATTGTTGAAAAAGATCCAAATAGTGTACGCATTCCATTGACTGGAGGCAACAGAGTTCTTCATGTAGCAGCAGATTTGGGGAGCACTGATTGTGTTGAAGGGTTGGTTGAGCTTATGAGGCCAGAAGATGTGCTAATGCGTAACTCAGATGAGATGCTTCCAGTTCACTTGGCTGCTTTATCTCTCCATCGCAGAATAGTTCGACTTCTATGCTCTGACGATCTGCTTGACAAAATGGATTACAAGGATATTGAAAAACTCTTTTTTATGACCATTAGCAACGACATGTTTGGTAAGTGCATCTATAACTCATTAAACACCATTTTTAAACATCTTTTGGTTATATAACTAGTACTTAACATTTTTATATTGTTTAACAGTGTATCTGTCGTTTGTCTTTTTTTGTTAACTAGATAAAATGATTGTTACGTGGCATCATCATTTTCCTTGAATTGATTTTGTGGTTAATATATAAACATTTTGTTGCTTTAAGTAAACGTGTTGGAGAATAAGAAACCGCTATCTTCACTTAAGAAGTGGTGGTGAGAAAAACAATTTCTTGATCGTTATAAATGATACAAGTCATTAAGTAGCATCACGACTTCGTTGTTTAACATGTTTTTACTGAAATTAATAAAAATTATTTATCATTTTAAACTAACAGGATATCATTTTATATTAATTACAATATTTCACAATTCTTGACATATAAATAGGCTAAGAAAAATGAAAAAATAATAATTGGGTCACCTATGGTTAATAAAAGAATTAATAATAGGAATTTAATTAAAAATCATAAAACTTTTATTGTTCCATAAAACAAAAAAATAATAATAAGAACTTGATTAAAAATGTCTTAATTTATGAGAGACTTAAAACTTAATTAAGTTCTTTTTATATTATTTATAATTTGTTTTTCTAATCAGAAAATTCTCAACAATTTTTGCATTTACTCTCAATCTTATAAATTCTTCAAATTTAAAGGACCAGTGAAAACATTTTGCAACTTGTGTGTGAACATAAAATAGCTTCACATTTTTTTCATGACATTCTTAAACTTTCACTTTAATCTAATTACTTCATTATTAATTAACTCCAATATAATTGTTTTTACAATGATTTTGATATCTTCCACTATATATTGTTTCCACCCTTTTGTCTTCAAATAATGTTAGAGCAACAAACATATCATTTATAACTTTTCTAATGTTTATAATTTTTCTTAGCTTTTCACTTGAACTCCCTTTTTGAAACATGAGACTTCATATGAATTGAAGTAGTCGTTAAATGAGTTGGAGTAGAAAATTCATTTAGCATCTACAACTTGTTGATCACTTTGTCTAAGATAACAACTTAATCACTCTATTTAAAATACGGAAAAATCTTAAGTGTCTTTTCTCCCCTCCCAATTGCATATCCTTTGGGCAGAATTTACATCTCTATATTTACAATAATTTTTTGATTGATTGAATTATATTTTAACTTTTTAAACTCACATAACCAATGAACTCGTGCTTCACTCCATACTCGATGCTTGGCCAAATCAAACACGATCAATTGACCACACACATCAATGTGCACAGGTTGGAGAGGCTTCTTTCTTATTATTTAGTTTCTTTGGGAAAACTTCTTGCATACTTGTAAAGGATATATGCTTCACTGGAATATCTTAACTAAGTGAATATTTCTCAATTCTTTTTATTTATTTTATTGACAAATATTAATTCTTAATATTTTGTTTGTAGAGAAGACGTGTAAACCAGAGAAGGCCTATTTCATTTGAATGTATAAGTAGCTTAATCATTATACATATTTCTTGTCATTTAACAAACTCACCATGATGTTAATAACCCTTCAAAGGCTTAACATAAATATTTGAACTAAAGAATACCCCTTAAATGTATACTAACTCATCTTTTCATTTTCTGGCAACACCCTCATTTTCTAATTACTATTTCAAACAACCTTGTACATTATCTTGCCTTCTGCACATGCAGTCCATCATGGCCATTTAATTTGTGCATTTGACAGATGTGGCCATTAAATTATTTGAAAAACGTCCACGTGAATTGACCTCTGCAAGAGATGGACAGCAGCTAACATCATTGCATATGCTGGCGGGAAAGCCTTCTAAAGTTCTAGGTAAGCTTATAAATAAGAATTACTTCTTAATGGTCAATGTTGAGTGTTATAATGGTAATATATTTGATATTTATGAAGTTATCAGTCTCATGATACAAACTTATAGCAACTGACAAACAAATATTTATACTTTCAATTTTAAGTAAGGAGTATAGAACTTTCTAAATAGAAATAAAACAAAAAAAAAAAGGTGCCTAATATTAGATCAACTTTCAATTTGACTTTCTTTTTATTTGTTTTCATGTTAATCACGGACCAATCTAGACAGAAAATTACAGAGCGACATTGAAACAGGAGAACCAGTAGGAACGGGTATGCGATTGCTGAGGAGTATATGGAAAAAAGTTACAAATCAGGAAAACGAAGTTAATAATTTTGAGTTGATTACTCAACTATTGCCTGATGTAATAGAATCAGGAAACGATGACTTCGTAACATGGTGTTTTGGGGAGAGTTCTGGAATACTCATGAACTTAAAGGACTCCAATGGACGGAACCTACTGCACTTGGTTTTTCTATATCGACGTATCAAATCCATTCCTGCAGACTTTAGAACTTTTAATTTTTGTATACCGTATTTAGAAAGAGCAGTGGACAATGAAGGTAACAACGTTCTACACCTGGCTGCGCTTTTGGCCCCTCAATTCAAATCATTCTCAGGTTTAAGTGCAAAATTTCAAATGGACAAAGAGCTCTCTTGGTTCAAGGTCAATTTATT